AGGGCTTTAAAGCAGTGCAATCATTTTGATTTTTTTATCATTTACTTATTATGCTTCATTAAGTACTTATACAAAATTTTATTAAAATAAAACCATTTAAACTGGGTGTTCGGATTTATATGTCACTTAGTATATCTCGATAATTTTAAAGTTCCACGCTAAATTGCCCTATACTTTACTAGAGTGATATCCGAATTCATTCTTCCCTACTGTCGGCAGTTGCAGATAGATCTGTTGGCTCTTGGTGTCAAACCTATAGAGCATGTACCGATTTTTTCAAAACGTGAGCACACAATTCGTCGGATTTTAGTTACTTAAATTTCTTGAAATCTCTGGGACCAGAGGCTTCTTTATAATAGAACGTGTTTCACTGATATTAAAGATGCAACATTTAGAATCACCTTCCCCCAACCCCCACCTTTTAAGCAGTACATTTTTTTATGTCAATGATAAGGAACCCCTGTAACGTCAAAAACGGAGTTTCAGCAATTGTTACTTTTTCTTTTTTGCCTATAGCACCCTTGCCGTTGGACTATAACTACAAAGCTTAGGCATACTAGTAACCCCGTGTTGAAATTTCATTAAAATCCGAGCGGTAATTTCCAAGTTGATGATGAGTGATATAGTTTTTCGTGATGTAGATGTCATATGACTTAAAAAAACATAACATCTCATTTTAGAAATTTTTTGCGATTAGAATACTTCCTCGCCACTGGCGTGGGAAGTAAAACGGCTTTAAAATCGAGGAGTATCAGCGATCGCGATTATGAGTACCTATTTGCAGAACGACTTATCTATGCGATATTATATGAAATAGGGCCACCAAATTATCTGAATACGTCCTTTCTTAGTCCGTACGTTGCGCCGCAACGCTTGGGTCGGAGCATGAAACAGTAGACAAAATTCGTCCAAAATACGATTTGTAGAGCTTTGCGCGCTTCGAAATTGACGTTTTATTTTTTGATATTTTTTGAATGAAATTTTCATAGTGTGCTGAAAACAAAACCCCACAGGGTGCTATAGAACCACATTTTCTTTTTTTCAGTATATTCTTTTTAAAAAATCGCGAAGTAGATCAGAAAAAGTGCGCACTTCAACTCATCATAAAACTTGTGGAAAAACAAATTTCAAAAAGTGCTCCTATAGCACCCTGGGGACTTATCTTCTGAACATACTGTATGAATTTCATTCAAAAATATTGAAAAATGGAGTGTCAGTTTCGAAGCAGCTGAACCCTTGTAAATGGCTTGAAACTCACTGCGTCGGAGCCGCCTTAGTACAATGCAAATTATATGAGAGTTGGTCGGGACAATGAGAAACTGTCCGTTTAAAGGAGGTGTCCGTGTAAGACGGGTGTCCGCGAAGAGGAATTTCACGTTTGATATGTAGAGGTCGAACTGGTCGAGGATTCATCGTACCAAGTGAACCTACCTTAGTCACGATTTGATCCCGTCTTTTGAAACGAGATAACTAATCCCTTTTGTTTGAAACCACCAACTCAGGAGTACGAAGTATAGAGCCAATCTACTTGACGTCATTTTTATGCCATTGCAAACATGTGAAGCCTCTTGAAAATTACGAAATCTCGATAATTGAGGTTTTATGGCCGGTGACAGATTTTCTAATAAAGGTCTAACGTCTCAAACGTTTTGGCACAAAATTCATAGGTTTTAATTTTAACAAACACAAAATAATGTCAAGTTGCGTTTGGAAAAAAGTGTGTTTACTTACTTTCTGTCAGTTGACATTTATTCATTTTAAAGTTTTCGCTTTAAGACGTTGTATAAATTAGGAATAAGGAAAAGTATCTACAAGTTGGTTGGTCGGGTACTCAAAGCTGAAATCCATTTATCGAACAATATCGGAGTGCCTGCAGGGAATTCCATGTCTGAATCTCTCAAAAAGTGGAAGACCACGTGCATTTACTGCACAGAGGTCAGATAGATTGGCGAGAAGAGCAAAAAATCAGGTTGGAATGTTAACAAGGAGACTGGCTCGTCAATACAGATCTTCTAACATAAAGCGAAATTTGCAGATAAAATCCTTGTCTGGTGCGCAATTTCTAACAGGTGTGTATCCCTAACTTTTGTGGGAAGACTGAGTGGTGAAGCTTTGAATAGTCAGAGCTATATTGATAACTGCCTTTCCAAATTGTTTCACGAACAGCTTGCTAATGACCATTATCATGTTTTGGCCAGACCTAGCATCATGCCATTACTCAAAAGATACCCAAAACTGGCTTCGACAACACCCAAAACGATGATTCTCCAAACTTGCCGCTGGCACGCCCAATAGCCAAAACCGATAAATATTTTGTGCCAAAACTTTTAGGACATACGTTACATCTTCGTCATCAATTTTATACAAAGGCATCGGACCATAAAAAGTTCTCATAGCGGACTCTGTAATATGAACCTTTTTAGAAGTAATACCTTGCAAATAAAAGTTTTCCCTGACGCAATTACGATATATAATGATTTGTAACGTGAAACATGATAACTGCAGAAACACGATCCGCTAGGTAGCATTGCTTTCCTGTTGATCCTTTCAAATAATACAGGTTCGTTGAACCTGCATAGTAAGTATTTATTTGTGTCGCTTGCCCTGAGAATGTCATGTTTGGTCTACGAAACGTTTAGGATCAGGTTATGCAAACGTTTCTCTGTTACTACAGAAGGCATCAAACACAGGTTTTAATGCTGTGTTGGTAAATCTTTTGGAGTCATATCTAATAGGTACCGGGTTTACATGCAGTCCACTTCCACGGCAGTGAGCAGGGAATTGGGCAGGGAAGTGGGCAGCGCGAGTATGTAAATACGCAGCTCGCAATGCTCGCATTGCCATTGCTCATGCCGCTGCTGCTGCCGCATGCTCCCTTCGTTCGCGGTTTTTTGGACGGAAGTCAAAGGACCAGCAGCACGAGCGGCAGCGACCGTTTACTCAGAGTTCCCCAAACTTTTTTGTGTCGTAGACACCTTGCAATGTTTTTCTGTGTTGGGTAGACCCCCTACTTACCTGATATTGATTTCCTGTAAATTTCTAACTGTAGTGAAGTTTACTGTTAAAAACTTAAAGTAAAAACACATGTTAATTTGTACATTTATTAATTGAATTTAAATTAAAACTACTCAAAATAAAATTTTGTAAAATATATATATACGTAAAATTAAATAAACAGGTGTCTGACCAATAAGTGCATTGGGAATAAGTGCCCGCATTGAAAAAAAAAATAAGAGGGATAAAAAAAAAAGCGAAAAATAATAAATAAAAGATTTTTACTTAAAATAGTACAATAAGCGAGTTCGTTTATTAATTATAACATAAGCGTATGTTCTACAATAATTTCACTGTTAGTTTGATTAAATTCCGCTTCTTATACGTTTAAGTTATCCAAAAATAGGCAAAAAATTAACGAATTTTAGTGTGTACCTAACCTAATTTTCAGAATAATTTAAAAAAAATATTTTCTATAAAGGGGGGTTCTTTAAAAAAATCAATGCGGGCACTTATTCCCAATGCGGGCATTTATTGGTCAGACACCAATAAACATAAAATAAACTATAAATAAAATAACATAAGCAATAAGTCAATATTTTTAGTGAGAAGGATGAACCTGATGCTTTAATAATAAATTATCAACATTTGGCGTCAATTTTGTAAGGGTTAATCTTAAATCTCCTCGGCTAATGATGTCCAGTCTGTTTCTTTTTTTCGTTAGGAGATTGGTAACAGCGCTGAACCCCCTTTCCACTAGGTATGACGATGGAAAGGAAATTAAAAATTTCCTCGCTATATTCCATAATACGGGATAAGTAACGGGTATGTTGTTTTGCAGTCAGAATTGCTGATATCCGTTTTTAAACTGAACCTTAAGTTCTTCGTTTGTACTTAGTTCAGTCAGTTCCTCTTGTATTATGACATTTGTTTCGTCTATTTAGCGCCTAAATTTTATGAAATTATACCTAAAGACTTAAAAGATTTACGTTTCGGAAATTGTTTCAAAAGAAATTTAAAAAAGTGGCTACATTCTATATCTAGGACTGAAATTCATAAACTCATAAATACGAACATCAACTAAATACAGAATCTACTGTAGATAATTTTTGTCCTTTTTGTCATTTGCATTCTACAGTTTCAACTTAAATTTATTGGTCCATGTACAGGCGATGCCTTCTATTGGGCCTGTTTTGATTTTATATTTATTTACTCATATTTTTTGTTATCTTTGTACATTGAGTGAATAAATAATATTATTAATAATAATATTATTATATGTATTAATTATCCACGGTGGTATTACCATAGTCAAAATATCCTCAAACCTAGATTCAAAATCTGAATAGAGGGCATTTAAATGTTGAACGTAAGTTGAAACGTCGTCTTCCTGGCAGCTTGTCTGTGACAAATTGGGGAACTGAGAAAATTCGCCCCGTCGAATATTTTGCTTCAGTAGTTTAACTCTGGCAAGAAACGCTGATAAGATGGACTTTGTTTTAATCAAATTTAAACTGTCGCCTTGTAATTGCAAATTAACCATATTAAATTTTGTAAACAAATCTGTTAAATAGGCGATGTCTGTTTTCCTCTTCATTAAATTTTCTTTTAAAATTTTATCTTTAGTATCCAGAAATTCTAAAATAGTCTCAAAAAGTGCAAAAAATCTTGTCAAACATAAGCCTTTCGACAGCCAGCGTACTTCAGTGTGAAGGAGTAATTGATGAAAGTGTTCGTCATTTTCTTCACACAACTGCGCAAATAACCGCGTATTCAACGCGTTGCTTCGGATTCGGTTTACTGCATCAATGACTAAATTAAGTGATTCATACAATCTAACACTCAAATTTTTAGCAATTAAATGTTGTCGATGGATGACGCAATGTTTTGCTAACACCCCTGACACATTTTGTTTTAAATAGCTTATAAATCCACGATAACGTCCACACATGGCAGGTGTTCCATCTGTAGCTACTGATATTATATTTGATAAAGGAATTGCTTTTTCAATGAAATATTGATTCACCTTTAGTGTCGGTTATCAAAGTTCTTACGAAGAGCAGTTCTTCGTAGATTTCTTGATTCATAATAAAACGAACATATGCCAATAATAATGCTGCATTATCAGGTAAAGTTGACTCGTCCAGTTGTATAGAGAAATGGGTCATTTGCAAATAATTACATAAGAAGCTTTCAATATCAGAACTCATTTCATCAATACGTCTTTCAACAGTATTGTTGCTTAAGGTAATTCTTTTAATGATATCAGATGCAGGTTTGTGTAAAACAGTTTTTAAAACCTCTTCAACGGCTGGCAAAATTAACTTATCTCCGATAGTATGCGGTTTTCCGGATTTTGCTATAAGTAACGAGATATTGTAAGACGCCGGCAAACCATCATCATTTCTTTGTGACGTCGAAGCGAACATTCTGTCCAGTGTAGGTCTCTTCTGAAATTTATCTTTGAATGTTTGAAAGTATTTCAAATCTTTCTCTGTTTTATCAGGGTGGCATCTTCTCAGATGATCTAGCAGTTTAGATGGTTTCATAGCATCATTGCCCAAAACTTTGTTGCATAAAAGGCACATAGGCGATTGTTTGTCCGGCAATGATGCAATGAAGCCAAATTTCAAATAATCAACACTGTACTGTCTACATTTCTTTTTAGATTCGGACATGGCATCAGTCATCTGTGGGCGAAATTAAATTGTTTAAATAAGACAGAAAATCCAGCAGCTGTATATTAAAAATATTTTTTGATTTTTTTCCGAAAACATTCCATAATTCGAACATCTTCTTGCAACAATTAGCTCGAATTACGGAGATTGCACTGTAATTATATTACCGATTGCTAAAACTTTCAAAAAGAAACTATTGAGGAGTACTCGTGTAATTTTGCATGATTGAATATTTAACTACTAATAACTAAAGTCATGATTGGCGTAATTTATCTATCTTTGCTAACTACGAGTACAAAACTAAAATTTAATAAAAAATAATGTACTTACTTTTCTCCAGCACTCTCAAACAAAATAACACGGACTCACTATAATTTGTGTGATATACTATCTGTTTATATTTTTTTAAATATTTTCTTAGCACTTTCCTTTTCAAGATTCAGGAAACGAATAAACGTATTTGTCCCACATTCGTATTTAAAGAGTGACGAATTGAACAAGTCAGTGCGAGGTACGAAGCTCTGAGACTGCGACTCTCAGGTTTTTACAAGTTCAAAATGTATTGTGACCACAAAGCGAATACCAACATCCTACAACTTACACAATTTTATAAACATATATAAGAAATTTTTTACTTCATAGGTACTTTTATAAATAATGTATATGTTTTGATATTATAAGATAGTATGATGTAAGTAAATAGGTACTATCAGTGTATGTATTGAGATCCACTATCGTGGACCCCCATATTCATTTCATGGACCCCCAATTTTTTTTTCGCTGACGTAGACCCCTTGCAGGTTGTCATAGACCCCTAGGGGTCGATATAGACCACTTTGGGAATCAATGGTTTACATGCACCAACAGTCAGTCCTATCCTTACCACTTGGACGCGGGGTAACTTAACCTAATTTATTCCTTTTTTAGCAAATTATTCGTTTTAAAATACACTTGGACCATGATTGAGTGGAGCAATGCTCAAGTATTGAAGTTTTTAGAGCTATATGCGATTGAAAGATTATTACGGTAGGATTGAAAAACGCTTCGATTAGATGCAGGAGCGGATGCAGATGAGGTGTGTCAGCCCATTTGGTTTGCATTTGATATAATGTAAAGTTTTTTGGAAGCAGTGTATGGTAGGTTAGAAGGGTGGCTGCATGTAAACATTCACTTGCTCCAAATGCTGCCGTGGAATTATTTACGGCAGGACGGTGGGCAGCGCGAGAGGCAGCGGCAGTGGCTGCATGTAAGCCCGGTATAAAGGATCGGTGAAATTATGTGCAATAATGGATTCAACTTATATTGGTATTTAAGTACAGAGTGACCAACTAAAAAGGCGAGGTACTGCATCTGGGAACTTATCCATCGTAGAGACAAAAACAGTTATTACTAAAACGGCTAAGAGAAAAACTTGAAAATATTTTCCAGTTTCTGAAATGGCCGCTATGGAGCGTAACCACAATCTTGAATCTAAGAAGGTGATGTTTCTGTGAATTCCGCTACATTAACTTAACAAAAAATACCTGGTCTTTAAACTCGAGGACAATCTCAACTTTTTTTGTTTGACAAGTTTTGCTGTAAAAATAAAGTGAAGGGGGGTATTCAAATGTTTACGTAAAGAGCACCCTGTACCTTCGAAACGGCTGAGCCGATTTTAACAAACTGGACTAGTTGAACAGAGCTATTCTTGGGCTATAATATTTTAAGTTTTGTTAGTTTCACATGTGGCAGCTAGATGGCTTTTTTCGACATTCCAAAAGAAATGGTCAATTTTCTCAAAAAATGAAATGCATTGGTAAGACTTTAATTATGAAAGGTAGCTAAATGATGTCTAAACAAGCAAGAACAGTTCAAAATCCATAGGTACCTTAAATGTTGGTTTTTACTTGGTAAACTATATAGAGGTGTTGACTTGTAATTTTTTCAATGGCTTCGTAAAATTCCTTAACGATGGCGTATTTTCAATGAGATCAAAGTTTTTGCGTTTATAAGAAATGTTTGAAAGTAGGAACAATTTTCAAGTGCCATTTTGTAATGTTCATTTCTTGACAGATAAGACAAATGATGTGTATTGTTGCCAAATTGTACTGTTTTGGGAGAAATACGTAGTCAAAAAAAAAATGCAAAATAAAAGTCTTTGTAAATGTTTTATTAAAAATTGTCCCAATATTTACTGAACATTAGATGAAATTTTGAACAGTATGTGCCTAAACATTGGAAAATGCACTAGCGGCGCGCGTGACATAAAACACAAAAGGTACCGGCGGATTCAGGATTTCATCTAAGGGGGACGCAAACGATATTTGGCCCTGGTCATTTTTTAATCTCAGTGGAACTTCTAGAATTTATCCTATTATTGCTCCTTAAATCCATTGTGCTCTATCTGGTCAAGGCCGGCTTAAAACAAACGTATTTTCCATGTTCAGAAATCCTCAGAAGGAAAATATCGTGGTATTTATAATTATTAACTAGTGTAATAATATTAAAGATTCAAACATAAAAAACTCCATTGCTCTGTCAACCGAAAGAAAAATAAATAAAACATTCCGAGAAACCCCGAGACATATCCCAGTCCATTCCACACAAAACAATGTCTTTGATTGCGAAAACGAACATTAGACCAAAAAATTCACATTATCGTATGAACGCTAGACAAGACAAAGAAGGATGTCTATAGACCATCTATAGATCGTGACTTGAGACCGTCTCCAGACTGCCTATAGACAAATTGCGCAACGGGGTCTACTAGTATGTATTAAGCTTAAGCATTAAGACTCTGAACTGCCCATTAAACAAATCAAGTAAATGGTGCAAATACTGTCACAATCAAGCACTTCTATTATGTCAGCAGGTGATAAGAATATTAATAGGTATAGCCAATTATTATTTTTTTATACCGAAGCAGCCGCGCAGGCAGAAGCCAAAATGCCGTAACACCACGGCTGCTATGATGATCGCAAAGAAATTTTGTTGACCCGAGGTTAGTAGAACCGGGAAAAGTTTCCTCTTATTAGTTAACTCTTATATAGTGCTGGTTTTAGGCACTGCGAACCGTTTCGTTATATTTGTTTCTGGATTCGACGTCGGCTTGTGTGTTCTCTACAGTGGGGTTTTGTAAGAAGGTTCTGTGTGCCTTGATCTTCTGCTGGGTCACACGAATTGTTAAACCAGCCGTTGGACCCTGGTTTAGGCACTTTCACTGTATGAGGGATGTATTCCTCCATTCCGACGTGGATAATTTCGGTTATCGAAGAACAGACAGCCGACACGTCCGCGTCAGTGAAGCAGACATTTCTCCAAGAAAAGGTAGAGAAGAAGCCTCTGAGCCCCTGCCAGTCGGCATGTGCCTAATGCCAAATTTTGCGGCCTATGCGAGTTTCTGCTGCCACAGCGGGTTCTGACCGAAACCTAACCTCCACATCACAGTGGTCTGAGTTATCAAGGGGGGACAGGACAGCAGTGCTGTAAGGGACAGGATGCGTGGTCAAGAAGAGATCCAGCGGGCTAGTGGCATGTGACGAGACGCGGAGGAAAAAACTAGGGCCCGTCACCAGCTAAGTCAGCCCTTGAGTAAGAGCGAACGCTTCAACTGCACAACCTGCTGCATCGGTCTTGTTTGAGCCCAACCAAAGCAAATTATGGACATTGAAATCACGGAGGAGACCTACCTCTGAAGCGGGGTGAATTATTATATGGTCCGAGGGAGAGCTATAAAGACAGCAAATAAATTTGAGGGATGTTTTGAAGTTGAGGCGAAGCCACAGAATGTCCTTCCGGTCTGATCCCAGAGAAACGTCTCTGCAGCAGGAAAGACTGCTGCGGACAAAGACCACAACTCCCCCGTTCTTTCTCAGATTGGAGTGCACCTCGTAATTTGGGAAGGTAAGATGATTAACCGGACTCTGAGATTTTTGTCTTCGCCACGAAAAGCATGGCGGGACGATTGGATTGCAAGTAGTGATGAACTGCATCAATGTTGCAGTTAATCCCGCAGATGTTCGTGAAACAAATTTTAGTCTTTTTGTTTTCTATCTGAACAGATTAAGATAAATAAAGATTTTTCTAACTTTCTCGAAAACGAGTCGACTGATTTAAAAAAATCAAACGTCAAAATAAAGGACCTTTCAAGCAAGCTATTACTCGATACCCCTTATCATTTAAAATTTGACCCTGGGAGGCCGAGGGTGAAAGGGGGTGAGGTAATTTTGGTCAAAAGGTTGTCCCCCTTGATAAATCTTTTTGTCCGGCGTTTTTTTCTTTTAATCAGTGGTTTCCGATTAATCCGAGGTGGGAGGTTTTCAAATGAACACCCTGTATAGAGCTAGCAGCGTAGCCTGACATTAACGCAAAATCTGGCAATCATGGCGCATCTTCAAAAAATAACAGCTTGAAGCCAATAATCAAATTCAAGCGAATAACCACATGAAAGTGGTATTTACCATTTTGGATTGGTATTTACCGATCCGTTCAAGCAAGCGTGGTTATCGGTTTGGTTATAAGATCCGTCAGCTGTTATATGTCATAGTTATCACCGCAAAATTGTGGTATTTACCCAACTCAGGAGTAGTTTTATATTTCTGGTTATTATTTGAAATGTGACAAGATAGAATTTTGCCGGGTATTGGATATTTTTGTTGTACTTCAGCTTCATTTTTGGGAAACTTGATACAGGCCGACCTCAGTTGTAGAATAAAGTAGAGCACCTTATTAGTTATACTCATTACTGTTGTTGGGGATACTTTAAATCTAGTTCCTATGCTTAACAAAGTATCCTGCGTAGCCATATACCACAAGAATTTTAAAAAATGGCCATATACACTAACTGGATAATCTCCACCTGTATACGGTTTTTCATCGCTATTTCCTGCCATTACTGCTAAATCAATAAATGTTTTCTTTGACATGCGGAAAAGTTTAGAGAATTGAAATTTATCATAGCTACAAAGCAATGGTTCCATCATTAAAAATTATTTTCTGAAAAAAAAAACATTTCTCTCATTATGAAAGGCTTCTTTGTTAAACTTTCCATACACTGTTGAAGACGAAAAAGCACCGATTATTGAGTAATAATAAAAATGTTCAGAAATTATATGCGCGCTTTTCTAAAATAAACAACTTGCAACAAAACCGCAGTTAAAATCAACGCGTTCAAACGATTCGAGAAACTGACGTCATCAACCCGTCTGTCATCTGAAACCATATTATAACCGCGGTACATAACACAGAAATTTTGGTTATTCGCTTGGATTTGATTATTGGTGTTGCTATAATAACAAGGTTAATTTCTTCTTCAGTGTCAGCGGGGTGAAACGTCTTATGGGCGAACTGGCAACGCCAAGGTCATTCTCTCCAGGCACAAAACACATAAATCTCCAGGCAAAATCTAGGACACTTTCTTACCAACAGAGTTTGATTTTTGACAAACGACAGTTTGACTTTCCCTGGGAACTTCCATTTTGCTTTCAATCTGTTTTTTGAATTGGGTTAGCTACGCTACACATTAAATTTTTAATTATTGATTTAATTCCCAATCGAGAAATTATCGTTCATTATTTTGCATATAATATGAGTAATAATAACCTTTGCCATATATTTTTCACTGTAAAACACTTGTGATTGTGTGCAGGAATACTTAAGATTGCATATTTCAATAAGCTTGTTTTTCTTTTGTAATTCAGTCAAATACTGGATTTGGGGTTGCCTCTTCGTACATCGCTACTTTAAAGTACTCACGCAAATATCCTTCTTGCAAATTTTCCTATTTCCACATTGTTCGGAAATCTGCTTGTATATACAAAAATAAAGTATTCCATCGTTTTCCAAAAGATGAAAAAACTGTTGCTGCATGGAAGACAGCTTGTAAGATATCTCCACTTGTAAAGTTTCCAATTATTATGTTTGTGAGGATCATTTTTCAATGTTTGATCGTAATAAGCCGCATGATCCTTCACGTCTCAGATATCTTACCATACCAGTGTCCCCCAATACAGTTTTAAATTCAAACAATAGTCATCCTACTAAGTCAGGTCCCACTTCAGTCTCTAGAGTTTTATTCAATGACCCTCCTTCTGGACAGGCTACCACTGGCTACCACTGAGCAAAATGAAAATTCCAGTGGAAGATCAAAACATTAAAATCAGTGGAACAGAACAGAATCTAATTATTTAGATTAATATTTTTTTTTGTTAGAGAAGGGCTTTGGCATATTAACAAAATCTGGTACATCAAAGAAGGAATTGAGCTCTAAGGAAGTCCACCGGAATGTTTGCTCAAGGCTACACAAATTAAAATCAATTTTCATTGTCGCTGGGGTTGACAAATCAAACTATTTCAAATTTGTTGAAGGCTTGCAAATAAGAATTAGATCTGTTATGTCACTATGAAGGGATCTTAAGGAGAAGGGCTTGAAATATCTTTGTTTGGGAAATTTAAATCAAGATTCCCTGGAAAATGTATTTGGACAAGTAAGACAGCATCATGGTATCTTCAGTACAAATTCCACCTGTGATCAGTTGTTGCTGCCTTAAAAACAGTAGTTATTAATAATTTTTTCTAAAGGTAATTGTGAAATCGATTTTTGTGATACTTTGATCCATTTCAGAGACTTTTTGGATAAATATGACCAAAGTAATGATACAGTGCTTGATTTAGACCCTGAGATTCTAAGTGACTCTGACATGGAAATAATTGACAGTTCTGTTGAATGGAATTCTTCAAATGGTTATGTGGCTGGGTACATTTTGGACAGACCCAAAATTGATAGTAATTATGAATCCTGTGCAAGATTGTTTTCTTTGGTTGTCATTGAAAAACATCTATTTGTGACGTTTAAAGATCAGGATGAGGAAAAGCGATTGAAGTATGCAAGTGAAGATTTAATTAACCTGATTGGTCTTCTGGATGAAAAGCTATATGCATTTTTATAGCAGCATGGTACAGAAATCCAACTGGAAGTTAAATTTAAACAGAAGTATTCCTGCATCCTTCAAAATTACAGCTCTTGTTAGCAGCATGGTGTGGCAAAAGGTATAATTGAAAAAACTGCTCGGTTGGGAATTTACAAATATGTAAAGAGAAATTTTTTGAAAAGAAGTGGTGAGACTACTAACAGTCATATATCAACAAATAAGAAATTCAAGACAGCTAAAGTCAGGTAATGTTTTTTTATGTAGTCCAGCACTCTTCGTTCATTGAATTTTCTATTTACTTTCAGTAACCAAATACTACTGTAATATTATACCAAAACAATATCTTTTTGTTTCATAGTTGCAACATCCTTTTGAGGGAGCAGTTGGACGAAGAATAATTATTTATTTTGTTACTCCCTGTAATGTTAAAGCCATCAGGAACTTTTGGTTTTAAGTATGAGGAATGTCTTGTTTATTTTTTACTTTGATTCCTTCTTTGAAGAAAATTTTCCTCATTTTTACACTATAAAAAATAATGTTTTCTCAGATTATATTTTTATTTCTGCTATTTACTTAACTACAGAGAGTTATTTTTTGTTGTAAACAAACTAAATCCTCGGCACATTCCAAGCATTCCTAATCTCCTGGCGCAATTGAATTCCTTCGATAGTTCTTCCAGATCTCCAGGCAAGTAGGCAGCGCAACCATCTGACAAAACGTCAACGTTGTTGCCGTTGTTTAACGTGCAGCTCCCACTTCTTCAGTCTTATGTGTTTTGTGTTCAGTGTATATCTTTTATGCTGCACAGGATTAATGTCATTCGCTTTTAGACATTTCAGTCACATTCTGTCAAATTCAATGTGTTGTGTGGTGTGTGGTGTTGTTTTGTGTGTCAAATCACAAATCGTGTGCTCTGTGCTGTTAAATTTCAAAATCTAGCACTTTACAAACTAGATTTTTTAAACTCGAACAAATTTGAGGGAAACTCTCCAAAGAAATGAGTGGCGACGAAAGCAAAATGGACCAGTTCGATGCCTTGTTTCTCTCTATAGCCGAACATCACCCCCAAGGCGCTCCACAGTTGCTGGACACGTTTGTGAACTTTCTGAGTCGCAAGACAGACTTCTTTACTGGAGGCAAGGAGGGGATCTGGGAAAAATTGGTTATGAGCACATTCAAAAAGTACGAAAAAATCGCCCGGTAAGTAATAATAGATAATAACAGTGGAGAAGTCATAATATATTAGCTATTTGTTTACTACCTGGCATTGACTACAATGGCATTACACGAGTATAGCCTCTAAACAATTAAACTGTCTCAGCCCATTAACTATGAGTGGTACATATAAATCCACCGTTTCAGTGGAATAACTTCAATGCCTGCAATTTTTGGATATCCACCCATATTTATTCGTTGCTAGGCAGTGGTTGCAACTACTGACAACATGATAATGTAAAGGGTGATTCATTAAACCACCATTCTCATCAAAAGCAACCCAAGGACAACATAACTTCAACAAAATTTCAACTAGCAATTTCTAAGTAACCAACACCCTTCCTTTGAGGTTGTGGAAATGTCAAATAAGTTTGTACATACAAGGAAAAATGTGGAACATAAATGGTCTATATTTGGGTGATCATACAAATAGTGAGTAAATTCAAATATAATTTGACAAATCAAATAATATAAAATTATCATATCAATTACATGAATACGTACAGAAAAGTGGTATTTGGGACATTGGACCAGCTAAGTATTGTCTAATTTTGGGTTTATTTGATGTTTTTGAAAAATAGTGACACAGGACCTGCACATGGGAATGACATACTCAAAAAACAGGAATGCTAGGGCATGAAAAAGATGAAACTACATATTTAAGATACACATCCTGTTTCAAATAAATCCACTGAAAATACTGTAAGGCCTCATTTCCAAACTACTCTTTGAAATGGGGTTTGGCATTTTGACGGTTGTTGTATTTATGCATAAGGCAGTCTCATCCATATATGTTGTGTTGTTTAGGTGTATTATTGGGAGTTTTGTTATTGGAGTCAGCTTTTCTAGATCTGATGTTTCATTATTTCTACCATGATTTGTCTAACTAAAAGTCTGTAGTAACTTTTCTTATATAGGGTGGCCAAATAAAAAGGTTGTACCCCTATTTGTGATTCTCCTGGTACATTTTGGGAAAAACGCTCTGACACGTCAATTTTGATTTCTAGGGGACATCTTATCATCTAGTACTGTACAATACAGGGTGATCCAAAACAAGATATTGTGTTACAGTTTAGATATTTAAATGAAACCCCAATTTTTTATTAGTTTTTAGATTTTCTGTGAAGTTTTTATAACTTTTGTATAATAAAGTTTATAATCTTCAATTGCTGTGAAGCTATTTGAGTTTTTACTAAAATTCAACTAACTTAATACTGATAATAATGGAATATAGGGCAAAAAATAATAATCATGGATACCAGGAAAAACATTTAGCATCAGTCAGTGTCACTATATAAATGAAGGGTTGGCCAGAACAACGTTGTATGTAACAAAACAGCTCAGTGGCCGAAATTAAGAAAAACAAATCTGAACCATTTTTTTCAAATGACTGCTTCTATAGTTGGCCAGCACAATAAAGGAACAATAGTTATACAAGGTTATTGTAATTTAAAAATGTGATACCTATTTTGCAGCTATGGGAACCATTTTTATGGAAAACACATGTAACAAGGTTGTATGATCGCGTTACTTACAACGTTGTTACAGGGAGGCTTTAAATGACTATAAGCAAAACAAGTATTTTCAGCAGTTCTATTTATAAGGGAACAAAGTACACAGTAACATATTTTTAATAACAAAAAAACACGTTCTAAGTTCATCAACGTGTTTCGAAACCAAAACTGAACCTTAAATAAATATTACTGGGTTGCAGTTAATTTCTCATAAAATGTTTCATACTTAAGCGCAATATAATCACTCATGTCCTCAATGTTTTTCAATTTTTCATCTTTGATTGGAAAAAGGTTGTGATACATTATAGGTAATTTTTCAGATGATATGATTTCAGTGGCAAAAGTCATTGTTTCTTTTCTTTTACGATTGCTTATGGGAAATGAATTCCAGGGCTGCATAATATTTTAAGATTTTCTCATTCTCAAAGTAGCTGGAGAATCAGCGGTAAGTTGCAGCCACAATCCTTGTGTAATTTTACATTTGGGGTATTTCCACATACAATATTCCAAAGCTGTTAAATTCTCGAAGAAGGCTTGGTGCATCCAGACAACTTTAAAAGGATTTTTAACTTTGGCTTTAGCAATGACATTGACCCACTGGAATGGTTCATAAACCATAGATATTCTTTTTTGCTTACGTACATACAACGTTGTTACGCGGACGACTGAAATGGCGCGCTTTACAAATTCGCGTCACAGTGATTGATGCGAGTAAACTGGTGGGTCTATGTTGTCAACGGGTCCCAATAGGCACATACTACGTTGTTTTACGGAAATCTCATTTTATAGAAAAATGTTATATACAACGTTGTTCCGGCCGACCCTTCAAATATTGAACAATGATTTATTAAATTCAAGATAGGGTAGAAATTACAAAACTGTATTACCAGAATGGGAGCATTGTAAGAGCTGCTGCTGGGTTGTTTAATGCATTACATCCAGACAAAAATATTAAAAATAAGTATGTGGCTAAGTTAGTAAGAAAATTTGAGGAAACTGGATCTGTGTCTGATATTCGCCAAAATGGCCATCAAGAAAATCGTCCAGTTAGAAATGAAGCTGCAGAGACGGCAGTTTTGGGACACATAGCATTTAACAACACCCAAAGCGCTTATCGACTGGCTACTTCTTTATGATTTTCACGCTCAACAGTGTGGAGGAGGTTTCCATAAAAACCATTACTGTATCTTCTCTTTCTGAAAAGAGCTATTCTTGGCTACAAATGTTATAATATTTGTTATATGTTTATTAGTGTATAAGTTTTGTTAGTTTCACATGTGGCTGCCAGAGGACTTTATTAGACATTCCGAAATGATTAATTTTCTCAAAAAAATTAAATGCATTGGTATGAAAAAGTAGCTAAATAATGTCTAGACAAACTCGCGCAAACCGCATATAGACTAAAATTTAGGCCAAAGGAAATTTTATAATTAAGAACAGACCAAGTATCTGGAGTACCTCAATCAGTTTCGCAGGCTTTGACCAAAATACCATGTCAGTCTGCTAAACTGGTGGACAGTTTATTTGCAACATGGAAAATTTTATCCTAATTGAAATCTCTGTATGTTCGGAATGGAAAGAGATATCAAGTTGCAGTATTCAGGAGGTTCTTGACCAACTCTTTGAGAACACGTACAGGATTCAACTGGTATATTTCTTTTATTTATCCACTTATACAGGGTGAGAAAAGGAAGTCATGTTTTTTAGCAAAGATTGGAGCAATGTTAGATTCTCAATTTTCGATTTTGGAAATTTTTTATGCATCTTGGACTGTCCAAAAAAAAGTAATAACTCAAATTATCAAATTTTAAAAAGTGTTACATTTACCCCTAAAAAGGGGGGGAGGAGCTGGGCAATCGTCGTCGGTTTATTGGCCTAATCGGGTAGGCTTCAAAATTATGCAGTTGTGAAAAGAAAAAGTTACGTAGGATTGCTGTGCAGCGATTAGAATTTACTGTTACATTCTGGCTTTGCTCGTTTTCGAAGAAATCGGGTCCAATGATTCCTTCAGCCGACATGGCCGCATAAACTGTAACATAACGCGAATGCATATGTCTTTGGTGTTTTAATTTGGGATTTTCTGCAGCCCAATTCCGGTAATTTTGCTTGTTGACAAATCCACTCATATGAAAATGAGGTTCAGAAAAGAAAATGTTCAAACTTGGAAAGCGCTCTAATGTTGATTCGGCAAACGCACGGCGTAGATGGTGGTCCTGCGCTTTCAATTCCTGCACTAATTGAAGTTTGTATGGATGCAATTTAAGGTCTTTTACGAAAATACGCCTTACACATGTTCTTGATATTGCGAGCTCAGCTGATCTCTTTCGGGATGATAACTGTGGATCGCGCTGTACGGCCGTCGTAACTTCGCTTACAGTTTCCTCTGTTCGTATTGACCTTGGGCGCCCCGCGAGTTTATGATTCAGTGTCGAACCGGTAGACCCAAACTTTCTGACCCGCGACCTGATCACAATTTCACTAGGGCATTGATTTAAATCATGAAAACTCAGAGCGAAACAGATGCCGCGCAATTGTGCGCGAATCCCCATTTTTGTAATTAGCCTTAACACAGAACGCACATTGCTCACTGGTGAAACGCTCCATGGCGTCGAAATTTCTGGGCACCAAGCTACTTATCCCCACTACCCGTGTCCTGTTCCCGTGCGTTTGTCACTACCGATGCGGTTTTGAAATTCGTACATCTTTCGGGTCCACCCTGTACAAGATCATTTGTTACTCTTTCACCTATGCTTTCACAATTTTGAATAAATCTAATCCCACTTAGATATGCTGTTATCTACGTTGTCTACACATCGTCTATGCGTAAACGCCGATGTCTGGTTGTTCCACAATTTTTACACAGTCATAAATTAATATAAACATCATTTCCTCAATATGATTCAGAGAACAACATGAGATTGAACTGAGAGAACGGGAGGCCCGTGCAAAACCGAAAAAGGTAGCCAAGGAACCGGTGAAACCAGCAGAGATAACAGAATTAACAGACGCTGAGGCTGAGAAGCTACAAACAGAAATAGATAATGAGAAGAATGGAATAACCACACCTGCCTTTCCTGACCCAAAGTCAAAGACAATAGAGGATGATGAAGACGAATCAGAAAAAGGTTTGATATGATTAACTTCTTTTTAATATGGACATTTGTTTAATTGTTAGTTCTACAAATACATTTTTAGCATTGAATAACGTATTCTTGAAAGAGATGCCGAACCACATGCTGTATTTAGACGTTCACTAATAATTTTCATCGCCACAGCCAAGTATGATCCCAATAATTCCCTTAGGAATAATAAAAACAGAGTCCATGTTCCTTTTGAAGAGCATTATAAATGTTGTGACAAAAGATGATTTTTTATTTTAAATATAAAAATAAGAACCAAATATGTTATGAAATATTTTACATACAACCACTGCAATTCTTGTAACATAGAATTTATTTTGGTGTAATTATTTTTATTAAATATTATTCTCATAGCTTTATTTTGCAGGTCTTGTAATTTTGAGAATACAGCTTCACAATATAGTAAATGCGGTAGAATAATTAAACTATTTTTTTGAAATATGTACCAAGAGTATGAGAAGCCCTATAAGTAATTTGTTTTTTGTAAATTTTTGAAATAACATATTCATAGTGATCCTCAAACTTTAGTTTACTATCAGTATATATACAGGGTGGCCCATCCATGTGTGGACGAAATATTACTCATATTACTCAAGTTCTGCATATTTCAGTTTCTGCTCCAATTTGCCGTGCACTTAAATGGGGATTTTACTGCAACTTTAATAGAACCTCCAACTCATTCGCCTCATTGGTGACACT